TTTACAGCGTGGTAGTGAGTTCATCATACATCATCTTTTTCTACCCTATCTACAGACACCCTACTGTCATTTTTCCAGCTTCTTCATAGCAATCTCTGCCGTATAAAAAACTGCCATCGGCCCTGTCCATGGCCAAAGTGAAGGATAGATGGCAGCTTCATTTTATTTTGCATAAAGACCCAGAAACCAACTAGTGCTCCTTTACTGATATACTTCTTAGCCACGAGTTGTCTGTAAGCCATGTTTCTATGTTAGTTTGTGGTAATGAAAGCCACTCTCTCTCCCACCTGCGTCCTTCACCCTGCGCCGCAGGCGTCTATAGGAACTGTAACTTGTGGTTCAAAGCTAACAAATAACCACAAGATAAGGAAAAGCATTATCATATTTTATGATTTTAAAATGTTTACTGTCCATTACAGTAGTAGATGTCCATTTAGCTTAGACTGTGGACCACAGGAACAATGAATGAAAGAATGTTAGCAGGAGCAGAATTTAGCTGGCAGAGAGGGCATTATACTACAAGTACCACAACACAGTAAAACTTGTGAGGTCTCTGCTTGTAATAATTTTAAAGTTGCAGCAGCGGGCCACAGAATCAGCGGAACTAATGGTTTCTGTGTATTTGATCCTCCCTTGTTCTGTGTCATCACTCTCTCCATACCTCACCTGCCAGGGAAATTTATGAGGACGCTCTTTCTACACCCAACGTACTAGACAGGAGACATTTCTCAGGCAAACAAACCATTAATTTGGTAAATAAGGAAAGAGTAGCACATTTGGATAATTAATTATGAATAATGCATGCATACTTAGCTGTTGTTGTCATTGCCGTAAACACTGTAACACTTACTAGTAGGCTATTTCTCCACTTTGCATAAATGGGGGCGGTTTGTCTGACAGTCAAATTCATATTTATGTGTCATCTTAATGTTTCTCTCTGTTCTTGTGTTCTCACATGTCAGGGAGCTCACTACATAGTTGGCAGTAATACAGAGTGACAGTTAAGTAAATGCAATTTCTTGAAATTAAACAGGCTTTAAATAGCTTGGTGCCTGTACCATATTCACCAGTTTAGTGCCACAGGCCACACTATACTATTGTTTCTATAGTCATATGCTCAGCAGTGACAGCAAACAACACTTTTCCCCTGCAAGCAATGCAACTCATCATATTGTCATGTGTATATGTGTGTAATCTTATAGCTTCAGTGGGCAAAATTAAATCTGTCACTTCTGGCAGGCGTGTGCACCACATACCACAAGATAAAATGGAAATATTGTGTATGGAAATGTATATTTCTGGTGTCTGATAGCTGCTGTGTACATTATCAGTGCTACTGTGCATTCAGCTCTGGGATTTTTGCATGTGGTAGCATAAAGGCAGACAAAATTAAATTTACACACAGATATGAATTGCTTACATTGACTTTTCAGTTATTCACACCCCTTGTGCAAACAGGACTACAGTGCACACACACACACACACACACACACACATTTATACTACAGCATTGTACACAAAGAGTATATAGGTACAAATGGCACAATGCTAGCGGTCAATTAATATGCATGTATGTAGCTCCTGCCTCCCAAACACACAGTCACACACATGCGCATGCACACTGCAGGGCTCCTCTTTATCAGTGCTGCTCACATTGGCACAGACACATGCACTGCCAAGACTGCCAGGCTACGGCCATGCTAATGTATCCCGTTAGTCTAACAAAGGCTCAGGTCAATGGAGCCTCCAGTGGCTAATTGCTTCAGAGAGATAAGTGAGTTTGACGACGCAGCAAGGAAGGGCTCAGCGAAAGGAAGCAGTGAGGGAGAAGATGTTAATGAATCCCCCGTTCACTCCACCGTCAATATCGGCCCGTCGCAGGCCTGCTGCAAAATGAATATTAAAGACACTTTTGATTGTTTGCCCCTTTTTTTTGCTTGGTTTCCTTGAATTTTAATGGGCTGTTTTGTGGTGTTTTTGTCACATATTCTATGCTGGGTAAGAGAGTGGAGCTAATGCAATTAATCCCCACGCCATCACCTGACGGCAAACCAGCTATGGTAGCCAATAATTTCACGTGACCATGTTGCACTAATCTGACGCGCTACACCAGAATACTGAATGAAGGAGACTGTGTTGTGTCCTCGAGTGAGCTGAGTGATGATAAAAGGCCTGAAAACAATTAGATGGAGTTTGAATAATGTATTTTTGAAAGCGTTTGTGCACATGTCATTGAGTAATTATATGTCATGGTTCTTAGGCTAAAGATTTGATCTCTTGAAGGGAACATGTTGGCTTGAGTTGATTTGTTCCCGCTGAAGTGACAGTGACAAGACCAGCGACTGCCATCCAGCACCGATAACAGCGATCAGATCTTCTTCATCAGCTAATCTCCTTCTGATTTATATTAAATCAATGTCAGTCTCAGGCAGCAGGACTTGGAGCCTGTTTCCTCTACAGTGGCAAAGCTCTCTTTTCCTAGAGCTGACTCAAGTTGTCACACATCTTTCTGCTTCTGACAGACTCACTTCATCTGAAGATTACCATTCTCACTGAACATGAATCCTGAACCCATATTTCCTGGATATGGCTGGAGGCTAATACAAATTGGACTTGACAAAAGATGATGCATAAGCCAAGACAACGATGTTTCATCCCTTTATTTCTCCCTCTCTAGGTACCGATTGTGTGAATTGCAGACGAGTGTGATGATGGACTATTGGAGGCGTTTGGTTTGACGATGCAAGTGGCCTCTTGGGAGCCACCCAGGCTTAGTGCATAAACAAAGACATACTTAAAATACTCTTCACACACTCCCCCTCTCTCAAACACTGTGGCTATACCTCTTTTTATTTTAGGTAGCTCATTGTGTTTTTCATTCTCACTCAAACTGCCTTTACTCTCTCATTAGCATGTTATTCTGCAGTCAGAGTCATGTCCTCCATGCTGTTTGTTTTCTTCAGCGGGCCCTGCCCTCTGGGTTCCACCAGTTGCTAACCCATGGAGATGAAAGCAACCAGTCTCCATGGGACATTTGGGAGGTTAGACCCCTGTTGACACACTACAAACACATCCCCTTCCAGTTAAAAAGAAGATTTTTTTTTTTTTACTCAAAAGAAGGTTTCTGTAAGCATATTTCATATAGTGAATAAATTTATTTCGTTATTTTTGGAGGCAGCTGATAACTAGGATGCTGGAAGTGGTTTTGAGGGTTTTTATACAAAGAATGGACAATGTATTAACCCGTGGATAGGCACTGATGCCTGCTAAATTTGCATGCTATGTAACATCTCATTAAAGGTGAATATGGTAATACAAAATCCCTCCTAGATACCTTGAGGCCTTAGCCAGTGCAGTTGTCTTCCTTCTCATAAATTGGAAAAGGCGGAGGAGTGTGCGTCGGCTCTACTGCAGGGCTGGCGAGCCCGCACAGCAGTTGTAAATATATGTACGGTGCACTTTGCAGATTTTCTTGTTAAATAGCGGTGACCTGCATGAGACAAGCTGTGAATCTTTCCCTGGCAGGTCTCAGTGTGGTTGGAATTAAAAGGTGGATCTGCAGCGTCAAACCCCAGCCACCAGGGAGCAGCGCAGCGCAAATTGTCCTCAAATATTGATTCTGCTGCAGAGAGCCATGTAGGACGAAGGGAGCAAGGCACCAGGCTCATCTGCAGAACACCAAACCTCTAGGGAAGAGAGAAATAGGAAGAGAGAGAAGAAAGGAGGGGAGGGTAGAGTGTGAGGAAAGGAAACAGAGCCCTCATATGGTTTGATGTTGCACAGCTCTGGAGACATTTTGCCTTATGTTGGCTGTAATTAAGGCTTTTAACTTTCTCCGCTGACTCCAGTTCTCAGCACCAGTGTGTGCATGTGGGTGTGAGTGGGCAGGTAGGAGTCTGCTGAAAGTTTGAAAATGTGCATTTATGTGAATGTAGGTGTATATGCTTGTGTGTGAATGCTGCTGCTGAATGTCATTGAATCCCCACTCTAAATGGACCATTGTTGCTGAGACGCTGTTCAAGGAAAGAGAGCATTGTGGTGTGACTGGCCTAACTGCAGTGCTGTACCATAGGCCTAAAAATATTCTATGTCAGTGGTCCCGAGAGAAGCCCAGCGCTATCCAGGCCTCTCAGTAATGAGAGAGTGGAGCTGCCTGCCACTGGTAGCCCCACTGTCCCCCAGCTCCCTCTGGCTCAGAGCTCAGCACTGGAGCTGGAGAGGCAGCGGCTCAGCTCCCACAGATTTATCATTGCTCACAAAGCAGCATGTCTGAAAGCAGAGGCTCTCATTCGCAGAGGAGCAGCCCCTGGCGGGCTAACCCCTGGGCACACTGACCCAACACATTCACATATCAGAAAGGCAGACAGACACAGTTTGAGAAAGACTTGTACTTGGATGTGCATCCACAAGAGAAAAATGGATTTGGAAAGCATGAGAGCAAAAAGCAGCAGAGTAGTACAAACAGCTGAGAAATAAAGATATAGTGTGTGGTACAGAGTGTGTGAAAACTATTTTAACTGTGCCATCTTTTGTATGATATGCAGTGTAGCAGAGGACAGAGACGTTGTGCAAAAGAGGGACAGAAAGACTCAAAGAAATGGGATTGTGAGAGGGAGAATGGACAGAGATAATTGAGAGATGTAAGGTGGTTGTTTGGGGCACTATTGTGCTCAGTGCAGTAATGATCGAGCCCTGAAGGGGAAAAAAACATGTTTACAAAGGGTTGAACTGCCATTATCAGTGGCAATTATTTCAGTATACCTCACTGGAGCATCAGTGTTTAGGGGAATTGTGCAGACAATCAATGGGCAACGTGTGCACAAAAACATACTGTATCTCCTACTAAAGGTAGTGAAAAGGACCCCTATTCATACAAATGTGTTGTTTTTACAGAGCTATTAAAGATTAGGAACTTGAACATTTAGAGAGAGAAAGAAGAAAACATTCCCAATAAAGTGAAATAACAACATAAAGACAACTTGTCCTCCTTGTTTGAACATTTTATGGGCCTCCTTTCTTTTAACAGTTAACATAAGAGATGTCACAGACTGAATATAATAGATCAAAGATATATAACTTTGAAGGCTGAGCTTGGAAATGTTTTCGGGCAAAAATGAGACAGATGAATCACACTTTGCTAGTTCATATTGTACCAAGCTGTATGTAAGCAAGGCTCAATAGTCTGAGCCATTTTTAACCAATAACTACTCAGGAATAATGGGGCATGATATATATATATATATATTTATCTACTTCAAATGTCAGACATTTTTACAAAATGCTCACCTTCAATTTCATGTGACATCCACAGCAAAAGATGGGAAATATCTAGAAAAACAAAACATTCCCAAACGGTTTCAACTAGTGCAAATATCTTACATGAATTTTTAATATGTTGTTATGATCCTACACTGCAATTCCTAATTAGAACTGCAAAATGACTCCCGCAAAACAGCCTTCATAGTAGTGACTTGACCCACAAGAGCAATTTGATGCTAATTTGCTATTTGCTAGTTATGAGCTGCTATCTCTTTCATTTCCCCCAAATCATCCCCAACTGTCTCCAGTATACGCTCTACATATTGACAACAGGTCTAGACTGTGTCCATCAGCACTCTAAGCACAGCTTTTAGTTCACATCTCACACTCATCCACAAATGCTTTGTTGAAATATATACTTTGAAATGCTTAAACACTGTTTGAAATTGACCATTTTCGATCAAACCACACTTTGTCCATTATTGGAAAATAAGAGTCCATTTGTGTCCAGATGTACCCTGGGTGTCCATGATTGTAGGCCATTGGTCTCAACAACCAGCATACTATATATGCTTTATGTGTGGCTCCATGTAGAAAGTAAGTGTACGTATTTTGTGAAGAGTACATTTTATCCCATTGTTTTGTGATGGATAGCCTGACAGCGGTCCTTTACTTGATAATTTCCCAATCGTACAGTAAATATGGGTGAGTCATCCATCCTTTCCACATGGAGAGTTTCAGGTTTCCTCGTGGCTCAGTGGCTCTCTTGCTATCGTGTGACCTAAAGAAGAAACAATACCACAGATAAGAGAGGAGAATCAGTGTCACGGAGACATGTAATTACACGGAGTGACTCTGTGTCCCACTTCACACTCGCTGAATGAATGTTTTCCATTTGAAAGAGCCAATCAGAAGTCAGAGGAGAATATTCCAACTCAAACCATTTGCTCTATATTTCTGACTCTGTCTTTTCCATTGGATTGAAACTGTTTGTTTTTAGTATAGCTGGCTGACTGATTGCAGGGACCAACGGTATCTCAACTGCTAAAGCTGGATTTCACATGTCTCGGAGCTGTAATGGTTTGTTTACACTTGGGCAGTAAGTTGAAGGCGTATAATTGGAGATGTATATGCTTGTTTTCCATCAACAAACCCCATGTGCATTTATAATAAACAGATATGCTCATATATTTTAAAAAGGCTGTCTTAGTCCTAAAGATGCGATGCTGTAAATGTTTTAAAGACAGACATATTAAATGGGACTTGTAAAAAATATGCATCTTATGGTGCTGTGTCTTTGCTGTTCCTTGTCAAACAGTGTTCCAGTGCCTTGGTCAGGCAATCTATGCATCTTTTCTACAACACACCTACGCTGTGTGGGAGTTAAACAGATGGACAGAAAGAGATCATCATGGTGAATGAGATGCTGAGGTGGAGAAAGGAGGTCATGGGTAGAAAGAGAGGCGCAGTATAAAGAAGAAAGACACAGAGGGAGCGAGAGTGCAGGGCCATGCGAGCAGTTGCCAGGGAATCTGCCACCAAGTCTCCAAGTAACTGCTCTCCAGTCCCAAAGCACCTTGCAAATGCACAATTAATGTCCACTGATGTAGTCAGCCATTGGTTCCTCATTCCTCTCTCAGCTGATCGGCTATTCAGACAGGGTGGCAGAGACAAAACAGAGAGAATGGGAGAGAAGAAGAAAGAGAGATGGAAACATGCAACAGAATGAGGATAATTGCACCTATCAGTCCCAGAGTTGGTGTTAGGCCCAGGGTCATTAATTCCACTGTCTGTGACTGAGCCCAGCAGTGCCTCTGTTCCTCAGTCTATCCCACTCACCAATTTAATTATGACTCTTAATTGTAAAGCCTCTGTGGAAGGCCCCAGCCATAATGCATTCTAATGAATGCGACAGATGTTGTGCTGTTATGCCATCTCTCAAGCAATTACTCTTATGGCGCCTGCGCCGCTTCCCTCACAACTGTTTCTTTTTTTATATTTCACCTGTAAATAAACTGCACCTGCTACATCCCACAACACGCACTCTTGCACGCACATACACGCACCCCAGTCGTCAGTCCCACAAATTAACTTTCACACCTCAACAGCTTACAGAGGGCCATGAAGGACCCTCATTTAAATCAATTTATCTCATCTAAATAGCATCAGTTTACATGGCACACAGTGGTTGTGTGGGGTACACAGTGTACAGAGGTCTTTTGTTATCTCCATCAGTTGCTTTGTCACCCTTGCCTGAGGAGATACAGTTACAGCAGATTAACAAATAAGGCTCGGGGGAGGGGGGGCCTTATTTGTTGATTAGCTCTGTATTTTCGCTGTAATTTATTTATTTTTTTTATGTTTGAATCAGCGCTTACACGGCACTCATTTGTGGGCATCTTGAAGATCCAGACCTTTCTTTATAAGATAATCTTTAATTTGCTTGGCAAGCATTTTCTTTCTTCCTTTTCATATACAGTCATATATGAAAAAAGCAATGAATCATCTAGTTCAAAGTCTGTTTACCAGTCACTAATTGCGGCAAGATGCTTCATAGAAAAAAAATCTATTTACGTAAGTGAAGATCATGGTCAGTTCTAGCTACATCAAATATTAGTCGAGCTGGAAGATGCTCAGTACTTTATTTATTCTTTCTGGATATCATGTGTCTCTCAGGGGATCATCTGTTGTGAACACTGATATGGTTACCTGTTTTGTTGTTGCCTACAAATCAGAAATCATCAAAGACTACAATAATTGTAGTTGGCTAGATATGCATGTAGGTGACATGCAAGTACAGAAAACAGCACAAACAACAAATGAAGGGAAACGATCAGCATATGTGAGATGACATATGCATAAAATGTACACACAATTGATGAGTGTTACACTTATAGACAGAGAAAGAGAGAGTCAGGCATGCAAACAGACCCGCATTCGTACATGTATACAAACATACAAACACAGACAAGCATTCTTCTCACCTTGGTGGTTTTGACTTTGTTTCCAGTGCTGCAGGACCAGCCAGTCAGGTCAGGCAGGACCTTACATTCTTCTCCGTCCATACACGGCTGCATCTGGCACCACCACTTCTGGGCTACAATGGAGGCTGGAGCAGCAAATGGAGGTTTAGAGGGAAAAAAAGACAGCAGGTTACTAAATGACAGGATAATATGATGAAGTGATGCACTGAATTATTGACAAAAGGCAAGATTAGGGTGGTATTTACAACACAAACACACCACCATTACCTACATAATACCCAAGTAATACTATAAAGTTATAATTTACTTTATATCTACAGCCAACATGAACTATTAATTCAGAATGGCCAGAATAATGGTAGCGCCTGCAGCATATTTTTACAATGTAAATGTCAAGTGTTCTCCATGGTGCTGATCCTACTGCACCATGAACAGCACACACTGGCTCTGTTCAAACCTCCTGCATCTCTCAGCAGTCATGTGTTTTTTTTCATCTGTAATATGATTAGTGTGATTTTCACAGAAGCTAAAATGTATAGTTACCTTTTTTTTCATTTTAATCAGATTAATGTAATCCCTCAACATGGGATCTTAAAGCCTCTACAAGGTGGGTTATTCTGGCATCCACAGGAGAAAAATATAAAAGTAGACAGAACAGGGGAAATATGACACAAGATTTCACTGTCTTACTTGGGCAGCACTGACTAATAAAAGTCCTTAAACTATACATATAGCCAATCAGATGCTGCCGATGTTCTAACAGGGCAGAGGTTTTTGAGAAAAATACTGTGTTTACACTATTACCAGAGGTGAATTTGTGTTCATCTTTAAATTTGTTCAGATTTGTGAATCACTTCCTATAATTTAAATGACTCACCCAACTTCCCCATTGTTTCTGGAATAATTTCCTATTGCATAATACAGAGAGCAAGAACAGGATTATGATGGAGCAAAGCAATCAATTAAAATAGTCTGCTTTCATGTATTTGAGACAAGAGACACTAATGTGTATGATCTGTTGTAAAAGGAAAAGCCCTCTCTTTGACTCATCTCTCTTGCATTCCATGCAATGTTGTGAAGAACAAAATGTGAAAAGGGCTTTTTTAATTGATTGTAA